TGCTAAACAATGAATGAGTTAACAATGAGAACAAAGAAGACATCAACAGATACCTTGAAACAAGTGAAAATGAGAATACAACAACCCCAAATCTATGGCACACAGTGAAAGCAGTCCTAAAAGGAAAACTTATAGCATTACAGGCCTATCTCAAGAAACAAGAAAAATTTCAAATAAACAATCTAACTTTACACTTAAAGGAACTATAAAAATGACAACAAACAAAGCCCAAAGTGAAGAGAAGAAAGGAAATAAACAGATCAGAGCAGAAATAAATGAAATAGAGTTAAAAAAAAATAATACAAAAGATGAATGAAACCAAGAGCTGCTTCTTTGAAAGGACAAACATAATTGACAAACCTCTAACCAAACTCATCAAGAAAAAAGAGAAAGGACCCAAATAAATAAAATCAGAAATGAAAGAAGAGAAGTAACAACTGACACCAAAGTACAAAGGATATAAGAAAATAGTACAAACAACTGTATCCTAACAAATCGGACAATCTGGACTAAATGGATAAATCCCTAGAAACATACAGTCTTCCAAAACTAAATCAGGAAGAATCAGAGAATTTGAATAGACAGATTACAACTAATGAAATTGAAGCAGTAATTTAAAAAATTCCCAGCAAACTAAATTCCTGGACTGAATGGCTTTACAAGTGAATTTTACCAAATATTCAAAGAAGAGCTGATACCTATCCTTCTCAAACTATTCCAAAAATTCAAGAGAAGGGAAAACTTCCAAGTTCTTTTCATGAAAACAGCATTAGTTGTATTCAAAACCAGATAAAGACACTAAAAAGAAATAAAACTATAGGCCAATATCCCTGATTAACATAGATGCTAAAATCTCAACAAATATTAGCAAACCAAATCCAGCAATATATTAAAAAGTTCACACACCATGGTCAAGTAGGATTTATTTTTGGGATGCAAAGTTGGTACAATATCCACAAAACAATAAATGTGATATACCACATAAAGAAAATTAAAGAAAAAAATTACATGCTTATATCAATAGATGCAGAAAAACATTTGATAAAATTCAGCATCCACTTCTGATAAAAACTCTCAGCCACGTAGAAATAGAGGCAACATACCTCAGCATAATAAAAGCCATATATGACAAACCCATAGACAACATCATACTCAATGGACAAACACTAAAAGCGTTCCCTTTAAGATTGGGAGCAAGACAGAGACCTCCACTTTCACCACTCATATTCAACATAGTACTGAAAGTCCTAGCCACAGCAATGAGAGAAGAAGAAGAAATAAAAGTCATCCAAATGGAAAAGGAAGAGGTAAAACTCATTATCTGTGGATGACATGATACTGTATATAGAGATCCTAAAGTTTCTACCAAACACTACTAGAACTGGTAAATGAATTCAGTAAAGTAGCAGGATACAAAATAAATATCCAGAAATCAGTTTTATTTTTATTTACCAATAATGAACTATCAGAAAGGAAAACTAAGAAAAAAAATTTCATTTAGAATTGCATAAAAAAATGACCTAGGAATAAATTTAACCAAGGATGAAAAAGACCTGTACTTGGGTAATTATAAGACACTGAAGAAAGATATTGAAAAAGTGGAATAAATGGAAGTATATACTGTGTTCATGGATAGGAAGAATTAAAATCTTTAAAATGTCCATATTACCCAAAGCAATGTATTGATTCAATGCAATTCCTATCAAGATACCAATGGCATATTTCACAAAACTAAAATAAATATTCCAAAAATTTACATGGAACCACAAAAGACCCCAAATAGCCACAGCAATCTTAAGAAAGAAGAACTAAAGTTGGATAAATCATGCTACCTAATATCAAACTATACTACAAGGTCATAGTAATCAAAACAGCATGGTGCTGGCATTGAAACAGATATATAAACTATGGAACAGAATAGAGAGCTCAGAAATAAACCCACAAATTTATGGACAATTAATATTTGATAAAGAAGGCAATAACATACAAGGAGTAAAGACAGTCTATTAAATAAATGGTGTTAAGAAAAACAGAAAGATACATCCAAAAAAATGAAACTAGACCACCTTCTTACACCATACACAAGAATAAACTCAAAATGGAATAAAAACTTAAATGTAGACTCAAAACCATAAAAATCCTAGAAGAAAACATAGGCAATAAAATCTCAGACATTTATTGAAGCAATATGTTTCTGATATATCTCCTTGGGCAAGGGAAACAAAAGAAAAAATAAACAAATGGGACTATATCATACTAAAATATTTTTACACATCAAAGGAAACCATCAACAAAATGAAAAGACAATCCACTGAATGTAGAAAATATTAGCCAATAATACATCTGGTAAGAGATTAATATCCAAAATTTAAAAGAACATATAAAATTCAACACCCAAAAACTAATAATCCAATTAAAACTGGGCAAAGGACCTGAACAGGCACTTCTCCATAGAGAACATACAGATGGCCAATAGATATATGAAAAGGTTCTCAATGTCACTAATCATCAGAGGAACACAAATTAAAACCACAATGAGATATCACCTCACTCCTAGCTATCATCAATAAATAAAAAATTAGTGTTGGTGAGGATGAGGAGAAAAGGGAACCCTTGTGTACTGTTGGTGGGAATGCAGATTGGTGCAGCCACTATAGAAAGTAGTAAGAAGTTACCTCAAAAAATTAAAAATAGAACTAACTTATGACCCAGTGATTCCACTTCTGGGAATATATCTGAAGAAACCTGAAACACTAATTTGAAAGAACATGTGCATCCTTCTGTTTATTGCAGCATTATTTATAATAGCCAAGATTTGGAAGCAGCCCAAGTATCCATCAGTAGATGAGTGGTTAAAAAACTGTGGTGCATTTACACAATGGAGTACTACTCAGCTGTAAAAAAGAAGAAAATCTTACCCTTTGTGACAGCATGAATGGACCTGGAGATTATTATGCTAAGTGATATAAGCCAGTAAGAGAAAGACAGGTACCATATGATTTTACTAATATATGGAATCTAATGAACAAAATAAACTAACAACATAATAGAAGCAGACAGATACAGAGTATAGACTGATAGCTATCAAAGGGGAGAGTAGTTGGGTAGTTAGGGTGGCTGGGTCAAAAAGGTAAAGGGCTTAATAACCAACCAACCAACCAACCAACCAACCAACCAACCAACCAACCAAGCAAGCAAGCAAGCAAGCAAGCAAGCAAAAAAAACCACCTCATAGACAAAGACAACAGTATGGTGATTACCAGAGGGAAAGTTGGGTTGGGGGAGGTGGAAGAGTAATGGAGGCAATAAATGATGATGAAAGGAGAGTCGATCTGGGGTAGTGAACAAACAATACAATATACAGGTGAAGTATTTTAGAATTGTATACCTGAAACCTATATAATTTTATTAACCAATGTCACCCCAAGAAATTCAATTAAAAAAAGAAGAAACCAAGTCTCTTTATAATGAAAAGTATTCCCCATGTGACTTAAATAAATAAAAATGGTAGCAATAAACTTCACTGTTAACTGTTGTTCAGCCTTGCCAAACCACATAAGTACATACAATACAACAATAAAGAAACTAAGCTCAAAGGCAAATAAATTATTCGAAATGGCTAACTGATTTTGTCATTGCACGATGACAGCATTTCGAGAATTAAGATGAAGGCTGCTTCGAGTCAAGATCTACATTTACATTCAAGAGCAAAACGAGGCCAGTGTAGCTCAGTGGATTGAGCATTTTCCCATGGACTGAGAGGTCCCGGTTCCATTCCTGGTCAGGTCACATGCCCTGGGCTCCATCCCCAGTAGGGGCAGTAGGGGGTGTGCAGGAGGCAGCGAATTGCACCGATGTTTCTATCTCTCTTTCTTCTTTCCTCTCTCTCTCTCTAAAAAAAAAAAAACAATACCAAAAAATAAAAGCAAAATGATACCTGATAACACTAAATTATGCTGACTGAATCTGCGGCATAGTATTAGCCAAACGAGTTCGCAGTTTTTAAAGTTTGAGGAGTTGCAGGGCATCTGGCACAGAGTAGTTAAAGCTAGAACTTAATTTGGGTGGAATGACAGTGGGGACAAGAATGGGAAGTTATTTTGAAGCCCATTAGGAGAAGACTTTGACGAATTTTCCCTTGCCTGGTATAAATGTTGATTGACCACTGTTCTTCTTGAAAAGAGTGAGTTATAATTTGTGCCCAAGAAGAACAACAAGAAAAGGCATGGAGATTTGTGTCTGTGGGTGCAACCTGAGCATATTTTGCCACAGGCTGAGGTCTGCATTCCTGGGGCACTGGCAGCATCGGGAAGAACAGGAGCTACACTGGTTGCGGAGAGACAAAGGGAATGGGGCAAGGCAGTGTTTGGTACCTGTGGCTGCTGTCTCCAGCCCCTTAAATGGCTATACATCGTGACTCCATCTCCAGTAAATATAACAAATAAATTAGTAAAAGGACTGGATAAGAAAATAGGGAAGCAGACAGGAAGACACTGGCTAACTGCAGGTAGAAATCAAAGACTAGAAGGGAAAGTCAACTTGTATATTTCCACTGCGAGGGGTTCAGCTCTTAACTGTTTGGGAGGGAGTGACTGGGGAATTAAAACTTGGGAAAATCACAGAGGAGAGTCACCTTTGTTAGGGGAGGAGTAGATAAAAGTATCTGTTTGCAGCCACGATGGTATCAATGCAGAAATCCGGATGCGCTCAGAGGCGGTGTACACAGCAGCAGTGGCCGAGTCCCACTGCCCACTGCGTGTCATCCTCGGGGAGCTGGTGTGGAGCGAACAGTGAGATGGGGAGACAAGGAAAGTGCATGATCATCCCCGTATGACCAATGTGCATCCAATGCGCATGTGCTCAGAACCAATAGCACACATGTTGCTCATACCCAATAACCAGCAACACCTTTTGTAGTTTTAAAAAATATTTACAGGTGCTTAATTATTAACATTTAAAGCAAAATTGTATATTACAATTTATGAGAAGTGAGGAAATACCTGGTTGGAGATATGTTCCTGGATTTTCTCTCTAGTCACTGAAAGAGAAAACAAAAATAAGTTTAACATTAAATATACAAATGAATAAAACAGAGTAATAGTTTTGCTCTGTTCTCACTCAAAACTCCAATAATAATAGTCACAGGCTCTCTGAGCAAGGATTTGTATCATAATATGAACATTTGCAATCGCTCCAATAATTGGAATGAAAAAATAAAAAAGTCAAAACCTAAATAAACCACATCAGACAAAGATAACAGAAAATGAAATGGAAATCTGGGAAGGGTGATATCAGAAGAATGTATTAGACTCTGGCAGAGAAGTGAAGAGATGAAAAGGACCAAAGAAAAATTCAAACAATATCCAGTCAAAGGTTTCCAAACAATGACAACCTGTTCAGGTATAAAGCTAACACTGAGCTCATGCAACCTTGAGGACTAGACAAGGAGATTTAAAGGGGCAGATGGCAGAAGTGCTACGTTTAAAATCTGTTCTGTTGCCTCTGAAGATGATAAAGACGTTATTATGCTTTGTTGTTAAAGTACTGCTGGCAATTCCAATATAAACCAAGAGTTCTATAAATGGTATCCTGGTCAGGACAGAAACAAATCAGAGTAACATATAAAGGCAACATAGGGGTCTGAATAATAAAGACTCTAAAATAATAAACCCCAGTCATTGTGAAAATAGACTGGAAGTGATCAGCATCATGTATGTCTTAAAAATAAAGGAAAAGAATCCTTAGTAATAATAAATAACCAACAAACCACCAGGAAAGAGGGGAAAAAAAGTAATTTCGTGGCACTGCAGTTATTACATGCTTGTGAACATCTTGGTGTGAGATATACACTTTATTAAACATGTCCTTTTAAAATGGTAATAAAGATAATTGTGCAGTCGCGTGCATTTGTAAGAAATAATACAGACAGATCCTGTCTGCGTACACATGACCCCGTTTCCCCCAGTGGTAACATCTGGATGATCTACAGCACAGTGTCACTGCCGGGATCTGACACAGAGCATGTCCATCACCACTAGGATCCCTCATGTGATCCTGTCATAGCCACATCCACGTCCCTCCCACCCCAACAGGTTCAGCCAGGTGCTCCTGGCTCTGGCTCCCTCGTGCAAGGAGATGTTCTGGGGTTCAAAGTCATTGCATGGACTCATTAGGGCCTGCAGTTGGCTGCTGATGAGTTCCGAATCAAACTAAATGCTTGGCTTGGTGCTAGCAGCCCTTTTAGTATTTAGTCCCCAGTCAATTTTCCAAGAATTGTAAAGCATCCTAGAAACAATGATTATGTCAAAGGTCTTTTTTCCCTCCTATTTTATTCACTATCGGTAGTATCCTAGTTCTGTATTAGGAACACAGTAAGTGCTCATAACTATGGGCTCAAAGTGAAGGACTGAGAGTTAATTCTAGATAACTTATATCATCATGTTTTACACTTTTCCTGAGGATCAGCAACAGTTTAATTGTCCTTTTAGTGCGAATTTACCCACCTTTTCATCATTTTCTTTCTTTAAACTACTATGCACAAAAATAAAGTTTCTTAGCACAGCTACAGTGAACACACAGGATTCTTTTCAATTGCATTGCTCAGTATGTGTCATTAGGGGTCAGGGTGGTGGGAGGCTGGGCAGCACCAGTTATAAGCAGGAGCCCAAGACACAAACCTGGGCTGTGTCTTGGGATATCAAAACAAGCTGAATACAAGTTTTCTTGGTAAAAGGATCAGAGGGAGTCTAGGATTTGTGGCATCTCACCAAATAAGGTAAAGGCGGTGACTTAGTAATCTAAGTGAAAGGGAATATATTGATATTTTGGAGGGATTTAGGTACCAGGTTACATACAACTCAGGGAGCAAGGTAGGAGTCAAGCTGGGGGACTGTGGGGTAAGGCAGGGGCTTCTCCTGCGAGGAGGTCACAGGGCAGTCTTCCAGATACTGAGGTCAGGGAATTGGCTGAGTGTTAATCACGGGGACTTGGGAGCCAGATAGACCATGTCTGTGAGTTACAGCTATTTAAATATGAGAAGAATTATCTCTGCCCTTGAGCTTTGAAAATGCTCATAAATTAAAACACATAATTATATAATTATTGTGTGGCCCTAGTAATGCTAATGATAATTTTCCCCCTCTTGCTTATGGATAGTCATAGTCTGGTGGAGATGTAAATGTTCCCAGGCCGATGCAAGAAAAAAAGGAGGGAATCCCACTTAAAACCTAAGTCATCCCCAAATTTATTCAAATCGTATGTGCAAAAGAGAAATGGCATTTAGGGGATACGTTTTAACTGCATAAGCCGCTGCTAATAAAAGATTAAGAAGTATGTGGTTTAGCATCTTTTAATTATTTTTTTCTAGCATCTTGAATATACAATGTTTGAAATCTCTGGTTGGATCAACATTATTTTGCTCAGAGGTTTGTGGACTTTGCATACTGATTCTTTCCTGTTTCCAAGTACATTTGCTTTTAGGCTATTTTTATTCACTTTAAAGGAATTTTAATAACTTTCTGTTGACAGCATGGACAGCTGGTCTTGAGAATTAAAGAAAATTCACTTGCTGACTGAGGAAGGAAGTGACATCAATGAGCTTCTAAAGTCAGCCCGGAGGGGGAGGTTGGCTTGTGAGAGAGTAGCCTTTCATTGCACTGTATTTATCGAGAGATGCCTTGAGATGCAAATTGCTGTATCAATCAAACCTATGGTGCCTACCTCCAACCAACTTACTGCAAACTGAGGGAACAATGCCCAGAAACACAGAAGAAAAAGGATGAGAAGTGCAGGAGCCTAGGGGCTAAGTGAATTACCAGAGCTCAGGATCCCCTCTCTGTGCTGATACTTCATTCTCTGTCAAGCCTCAGTTTCTTTGTCTAGAAAATAAGTTTGATGGTTTTTTTTTTTAATGACAGATGGCTAATAAGAACATGTACTAGTATATATATATATATAGTGCAGACATGTTATCTTGCCACTTTAACCCAAAGAGTGCTATTAATTGTTTTTTATCTCCCACTGAGAGCTATCTAACACAAATATTTAGGTGTTATATATAAGCTACTCGCTTGATAACTTGATATTTTAAAATTTATATTCATTATTTATAACTCTGCTACAGAAAAAAGTCAGGTACCAAATCTGGACTTTAAATAATAATGACAATAGTAATAACAGTTATCATTGTCATCATAATGAATGACTTAATTCTTCACTAGCATCAGGAAAATTTCCTCTGGAATTGCAGTTATCCATTTTTCAAAGATAACTCTACTCAAGTGCATTGAGTGTGTATGTGTATAGGCTGTGTATTGTGAGCATGCATGTATGTGTGTATATATACACACACCTGTGCAAGAGATAAGCAGAAAAGTACCTACATAAATTTTATGGTTATGAGCTGAAAAATTGAATTGATGATTATTATTTTCTAGCTCATTCTAGAAAGCTTCTGAAGTGGCTATAGTGATGGTTCAACTACAGTTAAATAATCTGAGTTTGAGTTAATAATCTAAAGTCAAACATAATTTAATGTAGCTCAAAAGATAGATATATTAATGTTGGCTTCTATTCCTTATCTATAAAAATATTTGGGATATTCAATTAAATTTTACAATTTTATGACCTTAAATATGTAATTGGAACCACTAAAAAATATTGCTTAAGTAAAAAAGAATAAAAGAGGTCTCAGTAGCTGTAGTCTTCAGGCCAAAGGATTTTCAGATTGTCCCCAAGCCTAGATATGTTTTAACTTTGGCAACACTCACCCTTCTGATCTATAGTGATATTGTAATGCATGTCTATTCTGTACAATTTACCTAGGTGCTCTGGAGGTACAGAAGTAAAGTGGAGGAAACATGATGAACACACAAAAAATGTAGTAACACGGAATCATGGAGCTATAAGAAATTTATTGGTAAATTGTATGTCAGTCAGTTAGGTCAAAAGGTACTTATATCTTGATATAGTCGAAATGGAAACATAAGCAGTAAATTCCTTGACATAAGTTTTGGTGATGATTTTTCTTTTTCTTTTTGATCTGACACAGAAAGAAAAAGCAACAAAAGCAAAAATAAATAACTGGATGACATTGAACTAAAATAGTTTCTTCTCAGTAAAGGAAACCATCAACAAAATGAAAAGGCAACCTATGAAATGGGAGAAAATATTTGCTAATCATATATCTGATAAGGGATTAAGATCCAAAATATATAAAGAACTCATACAACTCCATAGCAAAACAACAAATAATCTGATTTAAAAATGGGCAGAAGATCTGAAAAGACCCTTTAAAAAAAAAAAAAAGACATAAAGATGCCCAATAGATACATAAAAAGATAAGAGAAATACAAATTAAAATCACAATGAGATATCACCTCATCTGTTAGAATGACTATTATCACACAGCAAAAGAAACCATAATGAAAATGAAAAGGGAACCCACTATTTGCCTATGATATATTGGATAAAGGGTTAATTTTCCAAAATATATAAACTACTCATACAACTCAACAAAAAGAAGATAAATTAAAAATGGGCAGATAACCTGATTAGACACTTCTCCAAAGAGGACATACAAATGGCCAAGAGACATGAAAAAAATCTCAACATCACTAATCATCAGAGATGCAAATTAAAATGACTTTGAGGTATCACCTCACACCTGCCAGAATGGCCGCCATCAACAAATCATCAAACAACAAGTGCTGGTGAGGATGTGGAGAAAAGGAGACTCTAGTACACTGCTGTTGGGAATACAGACTAGTGCAGTCAGTGTGGGAAACAATATGGTGTTTCAAAAAATTAAAAATGAAACTACCATTTGACCCAATGACTCACTTCTAGGAATATATCCCAAGAAGCCCGAAACACCAATCAGAAAGAACATATGCACCCCTATGTTCATATCAGCACTATTTACAATAGCTAAAATCTGGAAACAGTCCAAGTGCCCATCAGTAGATGTGAATAAAAAATGTAGTATACATATACAGTGAAATATTATTTGGCCATTAAAAAGAATGAAATCTCACCATT